GCTGCAATGAACTTGTTTGTTTGTTAAAGGGGATGAAGCCATGGAAATGATTCATAATCTTTCAGATTGTACTGCTGAAAGAATACTTTCAGGGTATCAACCAGTTGCCTGAAAGCATACAGAACTGTGCGTCTGTGCTGGAGGCAGATTTCTTCCATTGTACGTAGGTGGGTCATGAGAGCCATTGGATTTGGCCCATCCCCTGAAAAGGTTGCCAACTGCTTTACACGCATTCTGGTGTGATGAGACCTCTGTTGTAAACCAGACTAATTTTTGTGGGGTTTTTTATTTTATTTTATTTTTTTATTATTATCATTATTATTATCATTGCTATTATTATTATTATTATTTTAATCTCCACATTGCACTTCCTGAAAAGTGTATTTAATGAGGGAAATAATGGCAATACTAGAGCTGGCAGTACTAGAGCTCCTACAGGATCTAATGCTGGTTCAGCTCAGTATGTGGATACAGGTATGCTTGCTTCTTTTGTATCTCTGTATTATTATATTCTTACTTGAGGTGGAAGGGGAAGAGGAAGGTGATGGAAAGACATGGATACCACTAATTCTTTTACCATTCCCAAAAATAGGTTCACTGCTTCAGATTGTTTTGAACACCAAGCATATTTTACAGTGAAAAAAATCTCAAAGAAATTGGATTTTGTTTGTGTATGGTGGACATACTAACTCTGGTTCTTTGCTTTACGTGAACCCTTGTTTGGAAATGCTTCTTAAAGAATCCCAGTGACTCAGGGTGGATAAAAATCAAACATTTAAAAAAATCTGATTGTTTTTATTTAAATCAGATTTTTTTTATTTAATTGTATTTATTTTTTTAAGATGCTTTTAAAAATATTAATTTATAAAAAGATAGCGTTAATTTAAGATATGCTAAAGCTCAAAGATGTCATCATGGAATAGGGATTATACCTTCTAATTGTATATTATTTGAGACAATATAATCATGTAACCTTTTTAGAAGTTTTATAAATAGATCACAACAGGCCATGGACTATATTAGGGGCCCAATCTTATGGGGTTCCCAGGGGCTTCATAGTAAAGATGAAAGAAAACCACTCTACCCAGTGGGACTCAGTGCTCAGTTTAGACAAGCCCATTAAGCATCTCTGTGATGCTTAGTTTCAGTTCTCAAACTGTGGATTTGTCTCTCCAGAGACCGCAAGCAGACAAGGTTATTTGGGTAGATGTGATATCTTTTATTAGACCAACTAAATAGTTTGAAAAATTGTTCTTTGCAAGCTTTTCAGGCACAAATGCTCTTCTTCAGGCATAGGGAGTTTGTTGTTTCCAGAGATAACATCCTTGTTCACAGCAGTATATGGAGGTGAGAGATAACAGACCTGATTACCTACCCATCAGCCCTATTGTCTCTGCAAGTTTGTGTACAGACAGTTAAGCCATTACTTTTCTTTAAAAGTGCAGTTTCAAGAAGCTAAATGAATAAAGGATATCAAACAACAAGTGTGCACTTTTTGTAGAAAACAACAATTACATCAGGGCTTCGTCAAGGCTTCCTGACTGATGATTTTAAATTTATGATTTAAATCGATTTGATTTAAATCAAATCCACCCTGCAGTCACTTAGGCTAGGGACAGACATTAAAAAAGCTACAGCCTGAATTGATTCAATCTTTGCAGGTTAGTTTAACCTGCCTAGATTGAATTAATTTGTAAGTGAATAGACCTTCACGCTTGACTCAGGAAATGCAGGCACACAGGGTGAGCAGTGGAATAAGCCCTTTCCTTGCCCTCTCTGCCAGATGCTGGAGGGAGGGGGGAAATAACCTCCATCTGCTTAAGAGGCCCATGCCAGCCAGCCTCTGGCTGTGCTCCTGCTTCTGCCGCTGGAGCAGTGATGGGGGAGGGACTCTGATGGGGGAAGCAGCCTCTGTCATGGTTTTCTAGGAGTGCAAGTCTCTTCCTGGTGGGGCAAAAGCAGATGAGGGGGTGGGGCAGAGAGAGGCTGCACTGTGGGTGGAGATGGGAGCAGGGAGGGTAGACCTGTCACAGACAGCTTGGTGGGCTATGGCCACCCCTCTGAGCCCTGGTGCTGCTGCTTGCCCCACGCAGTCTGCGGCAGCTGTGCCCACCCCGTTCCTGCCTGCAGTGTAGCCCACCTGCTGGGAAAAGTCTTGCACTCCTGGAAAACCATGATGGGCTGCTGCCCCCATCAAGATCCCTGCCTGCTCACTACTTCAGCGGTTGGGGTGGGGGCACAGCCAGAGGCTGGCTGTTAAGGCCCCCGTCTGTGACGGGGGCAAGGAAGGGAGTTATTTCCCCTCTCCCTTCAGCATCTAGTGAAGAGGGCAGGAAAAGAGCTTATTCTGCTGCTTACCCCACACAGGGAGCAAGCATTGGAGGCAGAGGGCAGGGCTGGCAGACCCTGCCTGTGGTCCTAACGGGGTAGCAGGGGGAATAAACCCCTTTCCTGCCCCCTTTGCATCAGGGGGGTATGCCAGCTGGGGTCTGACCATGCTCCCACCTCTGCAGCAGCAAGGGGGGAGTGCCAGGTGGACCTAGACTTAGGTCTGTGCTGGTGGGACAGAGAGGGGGGAATTAAACCCCCTCCATACTGCTGTGGCTGCCACATCCCACGCCCTCCCCCTCTGGAGAAGCAAGCGGAGAAATGCCTGGCAGGTCTGTACTGGTGGGACAGGGGAGGAGGGCAGGAATAAACCTCTTCCCTGCCCCCTTCACCTTAGGGGGCCAGTGTCTGGTCACATCCTTCTCCTACCTGCCCATGCTCTGCCTAGGGAGCAGAGGGGTGGGGCCATCCCTCCTCCACTGGAGCAGAGAGTACAGCCCTGCCTGGTGCTGCAGAGCATGCTGGGATGTTAGGGGACTTTGATTTAACTTAAAACCAGGAAGGAGTCTGGGACAAAAGCCTGATGCTACATTCAACCAGGTTTATCTCAAACTGGTTTCAGCCATTTTGAAACTGGTTTATGTGCACTAAGCTTCTGTTCTGTTACAGGTTTAAACCAGTTTCTGCTCACTTAAACTGGTTTATGTGTAACTTCTGTCCCTAGCCTTAAGGCAAAGAAGTGTCATCACCAAATTCCTGTTCAGCTACATTTTTATATTAATGTAAATCACAAACCCCACCATCATCATTTACTCTGACAAAAATCAGTTAGTCATAACACTGATTTCTTATCTCTTCCCAAACTGGCAGAACAAACGTGGGAAATCATGTAAGCATCCCAAGTCCAATTTTCACATCTGTAAAATGGGAGTAATATCTCTGGTTTTAAAAAATCACTTTGAGCTGTTTGTAACTGCTAAATATGTATTAGCACTGTCCTCTTTTCTAGCACTGTTCTCTTTTCACTTTTTAATTCTGAATCTGAATTTTTTTTATGTCACTTTTTCTTTTCTTTTCTTTTTTTTCTTGCATACATCTTCAAGTCGAGATGGTCCATTCTTATGATGCTTCTTCCTTTTCGTATTTGCATGTAGCCATAGAAAAAATATGCTTGTTAAGGTCACATTGTAGAACTGAAGTGCCCTCCTCCCTTTTAACTGTTATTGCAAACAGCTGTAAAGAGGTTAACAAAAAACCCAGAACAAGTAGACACAAAATTAGATTTGTATGTCCTCTCTCTTTCACTTTTTTGAGTAAAAGGCTATGGCTGTTTGATTCTTGGCAAGTAGCCAGAGCAGCACTCAGTAGTCCTCAAATTGCATGTCTTCATCTTTTCTTCTTTCCTCTAGCTGTTCCATAAGTAGCTGTGTATCTTGAGTCACAAAAAGGAAAAGCTTGCTTGCTTGTGTGTATGTATGTGATACTCCTTACCTTGCCCTTAAGTGTTTATTTAAAAACTTGGTAAAGAAAGCTAAGGTCTAGGAACAGAAAATCTTCTAGTTTAAAATACCACTCTTCTGCCGAAGTCATTGTACTGTAATTCTGTCACTTCTCTGTAGGTGTTAGACTGGTGGCTTAAGTGTCTAAGGATATATCTTAAGTATGCCTGAAATGAACAGATGTTACCTGGATGTAATGCTAAAGGAATTCTTCCTTGTGATGGGAGCGATTTAGATCAGGTTGAAAAGAGCAAATGAATATCTCTTGGGTATCTTTAAAGGTTGCTTTTGCAGAGCTGCTTCTTGAAGGGTTCAAAATACTTTTCAGTTTGCAATTTTAAGAGGGTTTCCTAAAGTCTAAGAAAGCACTCAGATTGTTTTTAATATGATACTGGTCATTGATTCATACTCCTTCTCTTTAACCCCAGTAAGGTGCAGCTACCAACCATATGGGGATAGAGACCAAACACATTCTCCTGAATCACTGTTGGATCTGGCAGGTTCTAGGCACGAGAGAGAAACCTTTCAGCGCTCTAATTGTAAAACAGTCAGCTATGTGGCATGTTATAGAGTAAATTTTATATTTTTCTTTTTTCTTTCCCTGATCAAGAAAAGAATAATTTCAAATTGAATGCTTCAAGAATGAAGTAAAAATTAAATTTTAATCATAAGAAGAGATTATACTTCATCTTTCACTAGTAGTTTTCTTTAAAGAACAATGATAGTACTGGAGGAAAGGTTGAAAATGCTGTCAAGCGCATATGCCATAAGGTGTTCCTAGAATCGTCGTGTTCATTTATGTCACTTCTTTTTATAACTTCACTGACTAGATCTACTGTCAAACGTTCAAAATAAACAGAAAAACTATTTAAATGCTAATGTGGGCTTTTAGGAAGTCTTAGTATTGTTCATTTTCTGCTTGTGCAGACTGGTAGTGCTGAGGGAATATTAAAGCAAACTAGATTAACTGATATTGAAGTTAAAGGCTTTTCCAGTTTTACCAGTACACTACAAGCCCAAATATCTTTTTGAACATGGCAACTATTTCTAAATATCCCTTCTCTTTTACAAGCAGCATAATTAAAAGACTTTACCATTTTTGTTCAAACTTTAGTTAACCTTAACTTGGTATGTTTGACTACTTAATTCTTAGATGACATTTGGAGACATCCTCATTTTCTCTACTACATGGAATATGCAATTGTTTTTTGCAGGCGTCTCCACCTCAACAAGAAAGCAACAGATAAACAGCCGTATAGCAAGCTTCCTGGTGTCTCCCTTCTAAAGCCATTAAAAGGTGTGGATCCAAACCTGATCAACAACTTAGAAACCTTCTTTGAGCTGGATTACCCAAAAGTATGTACCAGGTTTATAATTTCTTAAGAAGTAGAATTGGTAGGCTCTGTTGCAACTGCTAGAATGGTCAGGCTGTATTATAACTTTTTTTACACTGATTTCACCGTTCTGCCAGAACATCTTACAACTTTTTATCTAGTGCTTCAAATAATGATGTATAACTCTTACTTAAACTTGTTCTTAAGGTAATTTTGATTTTTAGATTCTTAATCTCATATAGTCTATAGGACATAGCTTGTTTGTTGCAAAGCTTTCATTGTACTAATTTTAAATAATGTTGTTTGAAAAGTCCTTCATCCAAATGAATACAGTTCTTTTTGATGTCTGCTGAGCAACAAGGTACAATTATTGGTGTGGCTGTTCCTGCATGCAAGCCCAAAGTTCTCTTAGTTTAGATTGGTTGTGCTGTACTTGCACTGGGGATATTAGTGAATGATTAATGGTTTTAGTTCTTTATTGGTTAGAAAATATTACTTAATGAATGTAGTCACTTCTATAAGTGAGG